GGTGCGCGGCCCGTCCCGGGCTCCCGGGTGAGGGGAGAGGGCAGGGAGGCCACCCCAGCTCCCCGCGCCGACACAACCAGGCGTCCTCAGCTGCCAGACCAGAGCAGGAGCTGGTGTGTGACATGAAATCCCAACACAAAGCCCCAAAGCTTTAACCCAGAAGCTGGGGGTGACTCCACACCCTGGCATCCCCTGACAGGGCACCTCCCTGACATCTGGGAGACTTCAGCCCCTGGCTGGGTGGTTTGGGTGAGCTTAGGTCGCTCTAACCCTGATCAAAGGAACAGTGCTGAGAGACCCTCAGGCTTCTTTTCCCTTTCTCCTGGTTTTCAGGGAGCTGAGGACGCCTGACAGAGCTGCCCACAGGAGCTGCCATGTCCTACCTTGCCAAGAAGTGTGGGGTTCGTTTCCGGCCCCCCTCCATCATCCTGGTCTACACAGAAGAGGGCAAGGAGAAGACTCGCCTGCACATCATGCCTGTCAGGAACTTCTCCCAGTTCTCAGGTGTGGGACCTTCCCTGGAGCTCTTCTTGGGTATAGTAAGAAGAGTGTGTCTAGCAGATGGAGGGAGGTTCTTCTCCCCTTCTGTTCTGCCCTGGTGAGGCCACATCTGGAATATTATGTCTAGTTCTGGGCTCCCCAGTTCCAGAAGGACAAGGAGCTACTGGAGAGAGTCCATCCCAGGGCACTGAGATGCTGAAGGGGCTGGAGCATCTGCCTGTGAGGAAAGGCTGGGAGAGCTGGGGCTGCTCAGCTGGAGAAAAGGAGGCTGAGGGGGGATCTGATCAGTGCTGATCAATATCTGCAGGGGGTGGCAGGAGGATGGGCCAGACTCTGCTCAGGGGTGTCCAGGGACAGGACAGGGGGCAATGGGCACAAACTGGAGCTCAGGAGGGTCAAGTTAAAGATGAGGAAAAGCTTCTTGCCTGGGAGGGTGACAGAGCCCTGGGACAGGCTGCCCAGGGAGGCTGTGGAGTCTCCATCCCTGCAGACATTCCAGCCCCACCTGGATGTGTTCCTGTGGGATCTGCTCTAGGGGATCCTGCTCTGGCAGGGGGTTTGGACTGGGTGATCTCCAGAGGTCCCTTCCAACCTCACCACTCTGTCACTCCAACATGCAGGGAGGGGCAAAGAGGGGTTGTTTTCCAGACAACACTGTCTCCCCTGAGGAGCCCAGGGCTACCCCAAGCATTGGCTCTGCTAAGTCTGCTAAGTCTTGCTTGCAAGGGTTTGGGAGAAGAGGATCTGTTTAGGGGAGGAGATTTGCCTGTGGCTGTAAATGTTCACAGGGACCTTCTCTTCAGACTGCAGCTTGGCAGCTGAGCAGCTGAAGAACAACCCTCGACACCAGGCTTACCTGGCAGGAATCTCCCTGCACCAGCTGCAGAAGATGTACTATCTGCTAAGGGGACATCTGCGAGGAGAGAGCCTGGCTGAGAGCTTGGAAAAGTTCCAGCAGGAAGACACCATCAACCCAGAAGAAGATCTGAACAAATTAGATGACAAAGAACTAGCCAAAAGGAAGAGCATCATGGATGAGCTCTTTGAAAAGAACAGGAAGAAGAAGGACGACCCGGATTTCATCTATGATATCGAGGTAGAGTTTCCACAGGATGAGCAGCTGGAGTCCTGTGGCTGGGATGGGGACTCAGATGAAGAAATCTGATTCCAGCCAAAGATGTCTGGGATGGGCAGCTCAGAGACAACCCTCACAGGGATGAGCAGCCACATCATTGTCAGCTCGTGCCACCCAGGCCCCTTAGACTGACTCTGGATACCCTGAGGTGTCACAGCAACCACCTTGAGGTGAACTTGATAACATGGAAATTGGATTTATTCGGTGTTTTTAGTCTCCTTTTCCTGTGCCCAAGTGCTACAAGAATTTTCAACACTCTACTCTTTCAGTCAGACTTAGCTGAAGACCTGACCAGCTTCTCCCCTGCTGTGTTTTCTGTTTGGCTTAATCTGAAAATGAAATATTTATGTCTTGAAAGCAACGTTGGAGCTTTATTGGAACTTATTTGAATGTTTCATTTATACTAGTCATTCTGGAGAAATCAACATGGCATCTCATGTTTCCTGAGTCATGGAATCCCAGACTGGTTTGGGTTGGAAGGGACCTTCAAGATCACCCAGTTCCAACCCCCTGCATGGGCAGGGACACCTCCCACCAGCCCAGGTTGCTCCAAGCCCCATCCAACCTGCCCTTCAACACTGCCAGGGATGGGGCAGCCACAGCTTCCCTGGGCAACCTGGGCCAGGCTCTCACCACCCTCACACTGAAGATGGTGCTTAATTCTCCAGGTCCCACCGACTCCAATGTAAATCTTTGCATTTAAGAAATGGAACATGTAGAAATAAGTTGGAGTTGCAGGTACTTTTGAAAACACCATGATCTCAAGCTGGTGAAGTGAGGTGTTTGGCTTCCTTGTTCTCCTGGGTGATGGTCTCCCAGGAAGTTCTCAGCTCTGGGAAAATGTAGTATCCAAAAAAACCCAAAACACAATAAAATAGAGTGGCAGAAGGTCCCCAAGGCTGAGGTGGGTTCAGAGTCACACAAACCCTTCACCCCTACTCCCCCCCTCATCACACCACAGCTCCCTGCTCATTTTTACAGACCTGTTTGTCCACCTGCCCAGCCAGAGCGTGACACCCTCACTTGGGTGCAAGAACCTTGTGGGACATGGTGTTGGAAGCTCTGCTGGAGTGGAGGGAATGGCCCCCCCTGTCCTCCCCTTGTCTCCAAGCCCCCTGTTGCACTGGGAGAGGCATCACCTCCCCCTTCTTCATCCATGCTGACCACTCCCAGCCCCCCTCTAGACCTGCTCCAAGCAAGCACACTCCATGCATTTCCCACCAGGAGGGTGACTGTCCTGTGGCTCCCCAGGATGTCCCTTTGGCTCTTACAGAAGATGGGGGTGACATTTGCCTTTCTGCAGTCCCTGAGGGGCCTCCCTGATCTCCATGACCTTGCAAAGATGGTGACCAGCAGCTCTGTAAGGACACCAACCACTCTCAAGCACGGAAGCTTATCATGTTGCCCTCACATCCCTGGCAGGTCCCAGCCTCAACTTCCCCAGCACCACGTCCCCGTGCCTGGGGCCAACCTGCCAACACCTCCCATGGTGGAGGAGCCTTGAGTATTGCCCCCAAACACGGGCTCAACACCACCCACAAACAACTTCTCCATGCCCTGGGTCCCTACAGATGTGCCTTCCCCACAGCTGTGCCTCACACCCCCCTGCCAAAAGCGGAAGCAGCCACCGTGGTGGAGGAAGCACCCAGATCCACCCTCCACGGGCAGGCCCAGCACCCACAGCAGGGGGAAGGGGCCCCACGCTGCTCACAGGGGCACCCTGCCCACCCTGCCAGCTGGGAGACACCAAAATGTGACTGTGAGACCCACCAGGGGAGGTGGCAGGGATGTAGTTACAGGTCCCTGCTGTCCCTTGGGCCCGTGGTTTACAGGCAGAAGAAGAGCTGAAATGGACTTTGGGATTCCCCAGCTGAGGCCTGATTTGGTTCCGGCTGTTTTAGTCTCAAATTTGGCCTAGAAAGCAGCTGTTTTCTGAGATGGATCTGGCAGCTGGGTTTCCAGAGCCTTGCCAGTGCTTGGCCCCAGTTGGTTCAGCATGGATCTTCTAGCCTGGGGTCAGCAACCAGCCAGAGAATCATTGAATCATCCTGGTTGGAAGGGACCTTGAAGATCCAAATCCAACCATAATCTACATCCCCCTACCAGAACCTGATTCACCCCTTCAGTGCTTAAATCATGTTCCTAAGCCCTGTATCTACATTTCTTCTAACCACTTCCAGGAATGGTGACTCCACCACCTCCCTGGGCAGCCTGTCCCAGTGCCTGACCACTCTTCCAGTAAAGAAACTCCTCCTCGTCTCCAGTCTGACCCTCCCCTGGTGCAGCTTCAGCCCATTTCCTCTGGTCCCCTCTCCTTTCATGGAGCTGTGGAGAGCAATGAGCTCTCCCCTCAGCCTCCTCTTCTCCAAACCAAACACCCCCAGGTCCCTCAGCCTCTCCTCATCTGCTCTCCATGCAAGGCTCACCAGTGCCCCTGATCCCTGTGCCTGCTGGATGCTGCCCTGATGCTGCCAGCACCTGCCTGTGCCCCCCGAGCCCCACCTCCAGCCCCACATTAGCCTCAGGTATTTCCACCACCTCCCAGAACAACCCCAGTGTAAGGCAGAGTCATAGAGTGGTCAAGTCAGGAAGGGTCATGCAGTCCAACCCACTGCCAACACAGGATCACCTACAGCAGATCCCACAGAAACACAACCAGACAGGTTTGAAATGTCTCCAGACAAGGAGACTCCACCACCTCCTGCCCCCAGCACACCCCACCAAGCTCACCTGAGTCCAGACGAGGACAAGCCCCCATGGTGTTCCCCCACACCACTCACTTCCCCACACCCTGTGTTCTCCTTCAACTCCAAGAATCATGGAATGGGTTGGAAGGGATCTCACAGATCATCTAGTCAACTCAAGACATGTTTCACTGGAGACATCCCACGGAATAAAGCTGCTCTGGTTCCCAGCAGGGCTTTTGAGGTAGCACAAACCACCATCCCCTCTCCCTTCCACCCATGGTGACCCTCTGAGGAGCAGTGCCACCTCCCCTGGGAGAGCTGGGAAGTGCTGCCAGCAGGGCTGGGGGCAGGAAACCCACCCATGCTGCTGGAGTCCACAGAGAAGAAGGCCCACTCCTATTTCATCTCCTTCACACCTCTTTAATCCAGCAGCTGCTGAAGGGAAAGGACTTGATGATCAAACACATCCTCCAAGACAACTGATCCTCCTGTCTTGAGTCAGTATTTGACACCATTGCAACTTGGGCCCTTTTGAATGGGTTCTTCCAGCCAGGATCATGGCTCCACCAAGCAACTTCACCCCAGATGTGTTTCCCAGCCCTGCTGACACTGCCTGTCTTCTCAGCAGCAGACCCAGGGCTGATGCTGACCAGAGCAGCACAGGAAGCTGCAGCCATGGAGATCTTCTCCACAGTGCCCAGGCAGTGCCTGCTCCAGCCCAGCCCATGGAGGCTGTTTGAAGAGCTGGAGGATGTTTTGCTGCAGAGAATTGGGGTGAATAAATAAAAGGACCTGCCTGAATGGGGGCAAAAAAGCCCCAGCACTGGGGAGCAACTGTTCATGTCCCTTTGGCCAAGAGGTGTTCAGCATCACATCCCTCATCAACATCAGCTGAAGGTTTCTGCTCAAGACGTGTCCCTTGGGGATGCCCAACATGGCTCCAGGCTCCACCACCAGCCACTGAACCCCTTGGGCACCCTCAGAGTGTCAGTGTCAAGAAGAGCAGCTCTCCCAACCCAGCAACCCACCATCTCACCCACCTCAGGGGGATCATCACCTGACAACCCATGGCCTTCACCCTTCCTCTTGTCCATCAGTGAGGGCTGGACACCCCACACCTGCTTTTCACCATTTTCAGCAGCTTCTCCTTCAGCATGAGGAAGACCACAACGAAAGCCACCAGGATGGTGAGGCAGGTGGGCAGGGCCAGCACCAGGTAGAGGAGGGCCAGGTTGGCCGTGCGCCAGCGGCAGCTCCGCAGGACGGCACCAGGCAGCGCCCGTGGGCTGAGCGTGTGGGAGGAGAAGCTGCAGGTCACCTCCTGCCCGTCAGGGACACACAGCCCCTCCACCTCCTGCAGGGCATCCCACCAGCCCAGAGTGCAGCAGTTGTAGGGGTTTTGGCTGAGGTAGACCTCCTGCAGGCTCCTCACCAGAAGTGTCCTGGCCACGTCGGGTGGCAGAGCTGGGAGGAGGTTGTCCCGCAGGTCCAGGCTGTGCAGCTTCAGGATGCTCAGGGAGGTGGGAAAGGTGGTCAAGGAGTTGCCCGAAAGGTCCAGGTGCATGAGCTTGTTAAAGGCAGAGAAGTCCATGGGGGTGGAGGAGAGGCTGGTGTTCCTCAGGGACAACACCTGCAGTGTCAAAGCAAGGTCCTGCAGCCACTCCAGGTCTCCAGACAGTGCATGGTGGTTGTGGGACAGGTCCAGATGCGTCAGTGATGTCCCCTGGAAGGGGTGGCCACGCAGTCCCTGCAGACCACAGCCTGCCAGAGAGAGGTGAGTCAAGGTCTGGACACCCCTGATATCCACACAGAGAGGACTCTCCACCTCACCTGTGACAGCTGGCTGGGGACAGAGGTCAACCCGGTTGTGGCTGAGGTCCACAGTAGTGATCTTCCTGGTGTAGGTGAAAACCCCAGGAGGAAGCACCTGCAACCTGTTGGTGCTGAGGTTGAAGAGCTGCAGGTTGGGCAGGATGTCCCTGGCACCCACCTCTGCGCCCAGCTCTGCCAGCTGGTTCTGGCTGAGGTCCAGCTCCATCAGCATGGCCAAGGGGTCCTCCTCTGACAGGTGGAACGTCTCCAGACAGTTCTGGTTGAGCTTCAAGTGGGTCAGGGAAGGCATTTGGGCCAGAAAACGCTCTGGCAGGTACCAGACCTGGTTCTGGCTCATGTCCAGCAGGCGCAGGGAGGAGAGGTTGCTGTGACAGATCTCATCCCAGAGGTTGACTGTGGTGATGTTGGTGGAGTTGCCATCAACCAGCAGGAACTGCACGGTGATGTCCGCCAGGGAGGTGCCGTTGGGCAGGCGCTGGTAGAAGCTCAACTGGTTGTCCTGCAGCAGCAAGGAGCTCAGCTTGCTCTGCCGGGGCAGCACAGGGAAGAAGAGGAGGCGGTTGTGGGACAGGTCCAACACCTCCAACTCAAAGAGGTCATCAATTTCCAGGGCCAGAAACCACTCGATGACATTGTGGCTGAGGTTGAGCACCCTGAGCTGGGTCAGGCTGAACTCCACCACGCATGGGAGGTAGTTGTAAGCAACGTTGAGCCTCTGCAGCTTCTGCAGCCCTTCAAAAGCCTGGTCAATCTCAAAAATGTAGTTCTTTTCCAGGTTCAGCTCCAACAGCTGTGTCAGGTTGATGAAGATGGAGGAGTCCAGCCTCATGATGATGTTCCTGGCCACTGACAAGGACTCCAAGGAAGACAGGTTTTGGACCAAAACTGACACCATATCCTCAGTGAGGCGGTTTCCAGCTAGATCCAGCACCCTCAAGGCTGGCAGAGCAGAAAGAGCAGCTGCTGTCAGGGAGTAGTTGGTGAAGAGGAGGTTGTCTGCCAAGGAGAGGACGTGGAGGCCTTGGCTGCTGAGGAAGGCTCCAGGCTCGATGAGCTCCAGCCGGTTCTTGGTCAAGCTGAGGTGTCGCAGCTGGTGGTGTGAGAGCAGAGAAGCATTGCCCAGAACCTGGATAGTGTTGTCATCAAGCAACAGCTCCTCAGCATCACCTCGAAGGTGTCCTGGGACACAGCTCAGCCATCTGCCAGTGCAGTCCACCGTGCTCTGCACCTAAAGCAAGACATGGACGCTTAGCACTGCTCCGAGAGGTGGGAGATGGGGGGAGGAGGAGGGAGAAGTCTGGGGAGCAAAGTGAGGATAGAAGAGGTGGCTCAATGGTTAGAGCCTTGGCACCCCAGTCCACTCCTTAGCTAAGCCAGTAGCTGGGAAGGTGGGGAGATGCTGAGGCACCCGGGCTTTGCAGGGCAGGACCAAGCAGTCAGAAGGGGGAGGGTTTGCAGGAGAGGACTTACGAGCTTGCAGCCACCAGATGTTTCCCAGGCTGCACCTGCCCCATGTCCCCACCCTGCTGCCAGGAGGGTCAGAAGCAGGGAGAGACCAGGGAGCAGGGCCTCCATCTCAGCAGCAGCACTCCTGCAGGGATGGAGACAGATGAGAAGGTCAAAAGCTGCAGACCTCTTACACCAAATGGCCCAGGTGGACCTCTTGCCCACAGGCAGGTGTGCAGCTCCTGTCATTGCTCCTGGGCTCCCAACGTGCCCCAGCGACGGGCAGGAAGGTGTCCCTGCCCACACAGGGGGGTTGGAACTAAATGATCTTGAAGGTCCCTTCCAAGTGAAACCATCCTACAATTCTATAACCACCATGCCCCAGAAGACCTGAGCCACCACAGGCTGCCCATGGAGAAACAGTGAAAAGCCCCAGCACCAAGCACACCCGCCCCCAGCAAGAGTCCTCATGGGGGTCCACCAAGGAGAACTTGGGGGCCAGGAGAAGAGACAGGGAGGTGGCAGTCTGGTCCCCACACGGGGCAGCACAGATGGGAAAGGCCCTGATGTGGCCCCACAGCTGCTGGCAAACACCACTGAACTGCAACCCCCCAGCAAAGGCTTCTCCCCACCCAGGGCTCACGTCCTCCCCAGCACCAACCAGCTCCCCCCATGGACACCAACCCAAACACCCCCAAGTCTCCTCCAACCCCCAAGCCCTGCCAGAGGTCCACCCAGGGGCTCTCCAGCATCAGGTGTCCCCTTGACTCACTTGCTGGGACCGGAGCAGACGGCATTTGCATCTGGGGGAAAAGCTGAACCTCAGGCAAATGAGGCGTAAGGTCTCAGTGGGGCTGGGCAAGGAGCCTTCTCACAACTGCCACTGCTTGAAGGAGAAAAGGGGGGGTTATTTTTGGCAGCCCGGGTAGCCCCAGCCTCACAGGACAGAGGAAGCAGGGGACGTGTCCTGGGTTGTCTCCCAGCCAAGAGTGTGAAGGTGATGTCTTCTCAAAGCGGTGTTTTGTTCCTCCGGCAGGGATGGGCAGGAAGCCCCCCCTTCCCCAGAGTCACGGGATCGTAGGGGTTGGAAGAGACCTGGAAAGACCACCCAGCCCAACCCTCCTGCCAGAGCAGGGGCACCCAGAGCACATCACACAGGAACGTGGCCAGGGGGGTTGGAATGTCTCCAGAGAAGGAGACTCCACAGCCTCTCTGGGCAGCCTGGCCCAGGGCTCTGTCACCCTCACAGCAAAGAAGTTCTTCCTGCCATTCCCATGGAACCTCCTGTGCTCCAGTTTGCACCCACTGCCCCTTGTCCTGTCACTGGACATCACTGCACAAAGCCTGGCTCTGCCCTCCTGACACTGCCCTGAACAGATTTGTGCCCATGGATGAGGTGGCCCCTCAGTCTCCTCTTCTCCAAGCCCAACAGACCCAGCTCCCTCAGCCTTTCCTCAGCAGGGAGATGTTCCCCTCCCTCCAGCATCTCTGTGGCTCTGCCCTGGGCTCTTTCCAGCAGTTCCCTGTCTTTGAACTTCCAGATGTGACCCCACCAAGGCCTCCCCCAGGCTGGAGCTGACACCCTCCCAAGCCCTCTGTCCCCAGCAACACCTCATGCCCAGGCACGATGGCAACAGAAGGACCCTGCTGTGTCCTCATGGCACCCAACCTTGGCCTCCCCCAACACCAGAAGATCCTCCAGGCTCCCCAACTCCTCCCTGGGGCTGTGGAGATGGCACCTGCCCGGCCAAGCAGCACCAGGCAGGAAACCCCTGCCCACAGCCCTGCTGAGAACCCCACGTGCCAGAGGTGGGGGAGCACCCAAGCTGCTCCCACACACCCACAGCTCTCCCCAGCGTGGGCACCAGCCCCGCAGGGCCCCACAGATCTTTGAGCTGACCTGGGGGGGGGGGGGGCCCCCCCAAAGA